GACAAACATACGCTGAGCTCCTGGATCCAACCTTGCTGAAAGTCATTTCAACTAGACTCCCAACTCAGGAGTCTATAAGCTCCCTTTCCGGCCAAAAACCTGTAGTACGGGGCTCTGTCCCTATCAGTTATAACCAAGAGTCTTGACCGGGCATAAGGAAGTTGCACATGAATGAAAAGAGATTCGGCAAGTTCAAAGTGTTTCTTCTGGGGGCAGTGGGACGGCTTGGAGGGTAAAAGCACTTGCCATCAAGTCTGGAACCCACACAGCGGAAAGAGAATGGACTCCTTCCTGAGAGTGGTCCTTTGACCGTTACACATCAGTCATGGCACACACGCTCTCTCTCACACACACACATGTAAATAAATGTAAAAAACACACAACTTTTCTTCTTAGAGCTTTAAGGAATCAGGATACTCTGGCGCCTGCTGTGTTAGGGGCCCAAGAGCATCTGACTCAAACAATAGTCCAGTGTTCAGATTCTGACTAGAAGATTTTCCTCTCCTTTTCTTTTTTTATATTAAGACAGGATTACTCTATGTATCTATCTGTCCTGGAACTCACTACATAGACCGGCCTGGCCTCTCAAACTCACAACAGTTCTCTGTTCCTGAGTGCTGGGATTAAAGGTGTCACCAAACCCCGCCACCTCCACGATTTTCAAGTTCCACAGCTTTGCTCTCCTTATGACTAGAACAGAGGGGACCATTGCTGGGATTAAACAGGATATTCATGTGTCACAAGGTTCACTATGGCATTGGGTAACATTACTGCCAGTCTTTGTCAAGCTCGGAGTGATGGCTTGCTGTCTGTGTAGCCCTGGCTGGCCTGGAACTCACTCTGTAGACCAGGCTGGCCTGGAACTCAGAGATCTACTTGCCTCTACCTCCCGAGTGCTGGGATTAAAGGCATGCACCACCATCACTGCCCAGCTGTAAATGTACACTTTTATAATTAAGGGGGTGGGTATGGAGATATGCTCAGCCATTAACAGTGCTTGTTACTCTTCCAGAGGACCCGAGTTCAGATCCTAGTATCCACGTTGGGCAGTTCACAATTCCAGTTCCAGAAGATCTGACATCCTCTTCTGGACTCCATGAACTCCTGCACTCACATGTGCACACACATACATACATACACACACATAATTAAACATAAACCTTTAGGGAAGGAGGAGAATATGCAGGTGTGACGTTAAACAGTCTATGATCAAATCTTGACACTAGCACTTACAAGGCATGTGACCTTAGGTAAATGACTTAACCCTAGGCTCAATTTCATGGGGTTTCTCTGTGTAGCTTTGTAGACCAGGCTGGCCTGGAACTCACAGAGATCCGCCTGCCTCTGCCTCCCTGAGTGCTGGGATTAAAGAAGTGGGACGACACCATCCGGCTTAATGGGGTCTTAATGAGACAATACTGACCTTCCCGGCTCACCCCCTTATTTTTTTTTAATAATTCATTTAACTTTATTTTATGTGCATTGGTGTCAAATCCCCAGGAACTGGAGTTACAGACAGTTGTGAGCTGCCATGTGGGTGCTGGGAGTTGAACCCGGGTCCTCTAGAATAGCTGAACACTCTTAACCACTGAGCCATTTCTCCAGCCCCTCACCCCTTATTTTTATTGTTTGTGTTCTGGAGCCAGAGGCATGCCCATTTCATTGGCAGTAAAAACTCCAAATCTTTACAATGGTATAACCCCCCCATCCCTGAAGCCAGACACTGAGAAAGGTTGCTTCCTGTGCTGGGAAGGATGGGGTCAGGTTTCCAGTGACATCAGGCAGGAACCAATTAAATCTACAAACCCAGTGTCTGTTAGTGACCTTCTGTGATGGCATCACAGGCCAGAGGGGCAGGTCCATACTGATCTCTGATTGACGGGCAATGCAAGACCACCTGAACACTAAGCCTTCATGAGGACTCAGATTTCCCCAGAGTCCACCAAGGCCCCAGGAAATGTAAAGCAAAGGCCAAAGAAAGCAGACCCTTTCCGAAGTCCCAGGCATTACCCTAGGGCTTTTTGTAGGTGAGGGGGATTCCAAAGACCTTTTACTCATCCCAGGGTCTGAGACACAAGCTTCCTCTTTTTCCCATTCCAAAAGTAATGAGAGGTAAAATACAGACAAAATACATCTCCCCAGAATTGAAGAGTTGTGTAAAGCTGAAACCCAGAATCCCAGATTTGTAGGCAGATGTAGGAAAACTTTGGCTAATCAGGATTTCCTGATGACAAAAAAAAAGTCCCTCCTATTGTTAACTTTTCCAGTTGCAGTCAGACCAACTGCATGCGCACGCGCACACGCGCACACACACAGACACACACAGACACACACACACACACACACACACACACACACAGAGTCATATCACCTTTGTCTCCCCATAAATGTCTCTCATCAGAATCTCTGTCCTACATTCACACAACAGACACCCTGGACTTAGAACACTTTCTTCCCAGGAGTTCAAAATTCCCATGTGTGCGAAAAGCAGGCAGACTCTAGATATTTCCGAAATAAAACCTAGCACTAACTTTCAGAGTGAAATAACTGTGTGGTCCCCAAACCATTTGGGAGGCAAAGGCAGAAGATATCTGTGAATGTGAGCCCAGCCTGATTTACACAGCCAGCCAGGGTTATAGTGGAACAGTGTCTCAAAAACAAAAACAAAATGTTAAATGGTAACTCCAGTTCTAGGGAATCTAACACCGACACATTCATGGCATACACACACAGGACACACAAATAAAACTAACTAGTAAATAAAATAACCAGCTGGAGAGACAAATGGCTTAGTGGTTTAAGGGCACTAGCTACTCTTGAAGAGGACCTGGGTTTGGATCCCAGAACCCACATAGTGAGTGGCTCACAACTGTCTGTAACTCCAGTTCCAAAGGATCCAGTGACATCCTCTCCTGAATTCCTCTGGCACCAGGTACACACGTGGTGCACAGACGCAAGCAAAATGGATACCCACATACATACATACATACATACACACACATACATACAGGGAGAGAGGGAGAGAGGCAGGACGGAAGGGAGGGAGAGAGAGAGAGAGAGAGAGAGAGAGAGAGAGAGAGAGAGAGAGAGAGAGAGAGAGAGAGAGAGAGAGAATATGAAGTTTTGCTCCAGTCTCTGACACTGAGCCATTCATTACCAGACTCAGACCCAAGAGCTGACCACCAAGCCTACACCAGTTGGATGCCTCTCCCTCAAAAGAAGTTCAAGCCTGTTCCAGTTCTCCGAGCTCTAAAGAGCTGCATCGTTGGACACTCCACAGGGCGTCCTACAACCCCTGCTGCTCACCAACTGACAACAACGGTATCCAGATCAACTCATAACTCCTCTGTCCCCAACCACTCCAGCATCTGACACACATGACATCTTCCTGTCCAAGTCACAACATAACAAATCAAAGAACTCCTCTGCAACATCTGCCTGCCAAGACTTGCTACCTAATTGTTGTTAATTGCATTAATTGCATAGTTCTGTAGTGTTGGACTCCTCCTCCTTGCAGTTTTAAAGGCAAGCTAAAAGGAAAGATCTGTGGACAGAAGTCCTACTGGGGAAACCTCTTCTCCCATTCCCAACTCTAAGACCACTATAACCCAATGGGACAAATTAAGAAGTGGCTGGCCGGGCGGTAGTGGCGCACGCCTTTAATCCCAGCACTCCAGAGGCAGAGGCAGGTGGATTTCTGTGAGTTCAAGGCCGGGCTGGTCCGACAGCCTCCAAAACAATACAGAGAAACCCTGTCTCGGAAAAAAAAAAGAAAGAAAGAAAAAAAAGAAGTGGCTGACTCTTCTCCCTGAGGGTGGAGCCATGAGGGACCCAAGGCCTAGATCTGAAAGAGAAGGGACCAACCCACCCACGTATTCGGGGGAAACCACGAAGGGTGACAGCCCTGGGGACCCTCGTCCTTGCACATGCCTTCCTGTTCATGGTTCCCAGCATCCCTCTGCACCTGCATCAAGATCTACAGCCTCGCTTTAGAAAGGCCCATCACAGCACCCCACAACACCCTCCTCTGGACACACAGGAGAGCAGCTCAGCTGACAGAACGACATGGACAAGGGAGATGAAACTTGTCTGTGAGGGGAGGAGGGTGTGGGGGTGTCAGTGACTCCAGGCAACCCAGTGGCTCAAGAGGGAACCATGTGTTGTTCCTCTTGGACATCCCCAAGGTTTCCTGAGTCTCTAGTCCCCAGAGCCGCAGCTGAGGCCTCTTTGGACCTCTTAGGAAGGACCCTATGGGACCTGGCCGCGATGCCATTCTCTCCAGAGCCAGCTCTTGTATCTACCTTCGAACTACCAGGTGGAAAGCTCTGAGCCACAGGGTGAGGGTTGGGTGCAGTCCTCTATCGCTGGGTGAGCAGCCAGCTGTCAACCGACAGATACCTGCCATTCGCAATGACAAACTCAGCTTGCAGCAGCCTTCAAGCAGAACCACATCAGAACCCCCAAAGACAGGGCTATAACTGTGGTCTATGATACTTAAAAACTGCCTAAGGTTTCAAGGTGAAAACTACTAAGAGCATCTCTCACAGCGCAGCTGCAGGGAAGGGCTGCCCCTCTAACAGACAGCAAGTAGTTGAGCTGCCAGCGGCAGCTGGATGGAGAATAGCAGAGTTGAGGGCGACCCCTGCGTGGGGGCCGGTCTGATGTCCTTTGAGTGTTACTATTTCCTCAAGAACACACCTGGAACTCATCCTCGGGGGCCAGAGACCAACTTTCTGCAGCGAAAGGGGAGCGTGGAGCAAAGAGCGGGTGACAGGGCGGGAGAATGGGGGTTCCGACCGAACGCCCCACGAGGCTAAGGAGTCAAAGAGGCTGGAAGATAGGAAGGGGCTGTGCCAGGCCACCCAGTATCCCATCGGTCGCACAGCCTGGGCCATCCTCTGGGTCCTATCGCCCCACCTCCGGGGCTGGGGTGGCTAGATGGGGAAGGCACCGCACCGCAGGTAGTAGCAGAGTTGCGGGACCAGGTGGTCCGGCCCTACCTGCAGCTCCTGAAATTCTCCTTCCAGCTCATGCCACTCGCGCTCGCAACTCTCCAGCTGCTCCGACATGGTGCAATGGTGCAAGACGGCGGCGGAGGCGGCGGCTCCCGCAGCGTGGCCCGACCGGCCACCAGCACCCCACGCCCGCCAGCTCACTCGCCGCCTCCTGAGGTACCAGCTGTTCCTGCGCAGCCGGAGCCACGCGCGCATCTGACGTCACGAACCCCGCCCCGGCGCCAGCCCCACCCCTCGAGGGTGGGGCCCGCGCGTGCGCACGCGCTTCTCTGGCTCCAGCCCCGTGGACGACTCACCTTTACAGACTTGGTTAGGTCTGTCTCCTCGCTTCTCCGGCTCCAGCGTAGTACGTTTCTCCTCCGATTGGGTGGAGGGCTTATCTGGAATCTACATTTATGGCTTTTGTTACTTAGATTGTATTTGGGGGAAGAGTGGGGTGGAAAAAGATTTTGTGGGAGGTGAAAGAAAAGACATGTACTAGGGGAGGGCTCTCCCCGGACCTATAGACAGACTCTAGAGATCCCCCATGGAGGGCCTTACCCTCCCTAGGGAATGGAGTGGGGATTGGGTGGGGGGCTGGGGAGAGGGAGTGGGCGTGGAGAAAAGGAAGAGGGAGCTGGGACTGACATGGGAAGCAAGCTGTCTCTAATTTAAATATATAATAAAAAAGTGTTTAAAAAAAAAAGTCATATACCCTTAACATTGCCTGACCTAGGAGGCCAAAGCCAGCGCCCTGGAATGCCAGAGCTGACAGTGGCCATGAAGTAAGTAAGGTCAAGGGCAGGGTAGGAAAAAGCAGACTTGGCTCTGTCATATCACATTGGCATTGGTATTTATTGCAACCAATACAACCTAGATTCCTGTCCTCTACGACACTAGGTGACTCTTGACAGCTGCTGCTGTCACTCAAAAGACACAAACACCTCCAAGTTTATTGAATGCAGTTACCTCCCTTTCCCTGCAAAGTCCTACAAGATCTGCACCAGCCCGGCTTTCCGGTCACACCTCCTATCTCACTGCCCTTGATCCAGCTCTCCAGACATTTTCATCCAGACTTGGCATTCTTCCTTCTCAATCTTCATGTAGTAGCTCCTAGCCCAGTCCTGGAGCCTCGTTCAAATGAACCTGCAGCTGGATGTGGTTTTGCACGCCATACCACCCTTGACAACATAGCAAGATTGTCTCAAAAAACAAAAACAAACAGGGGCTGGAGAGGTGATTCAATGGTTAAAAGTGCAGAGCTGTGGTGGTAGCACATTCGCCTTTAATCCCAGCATGGGAGGTAGCGACAGGCAGAGCTCTATGAGTACAAGGCCAGCCTGGACTACAAAGTGAGTTCCAGGACAGCCAGAGCTGTTACATGGAGAAATCCTGGGGAGAGGGGGGAGAAAGAGACAGAGAAACAGAGAGACTCAGAGAGAGAGAGAGAGAGAGAGAGAGAGAGAGAGAGAGAGAGAGAGAGAGAGAGAGAGAGCACGAGCGAGCATTCTGCAGGTCAAGCTTGGTGGTGCACACCTTTAAGATCACAACAGATCTCTGTAAGTTTGACACCAGCCTGATCTAAATAGTGAGTTCCAGACCAGCTGGGAGCTGTTAAAAGACATTCATATTGGTTTCATAGGTCTGCAGTAACTACAAGTGGGCATGCATTCTATTCTAAATAACAGAATGCTTTTCTCTCACAGCTCTAGAGGTTGCAGAGCTGGAAGCAAAGCGTCTACAAAGCCTTGTACCTCCTAAGAGCCTGCACAGTCTTTTCCCTGCTGCCTAGGTGCTCCTTGGCTTCCAGCTGCATTACTCCACTCTGACCTGTGGTCACGAGGCCTCTCTGTGTACCCTCTCTTAAGAATGAAAGTTCCCAGAAAGAAAGTGCACCTTCTTTTTTTTTTTTTTTTTTTTGGTTTTTCCAGACAGGGTTTCTCTGTAGCTTTGGAGGCTGTCCTGGAACTCACTTTGTAGACCAGGCTGGCCTCGAACTCACAGAGATCCGCCTGCCTCTGCCTCCCGAGTGCTGGGATTAAAGGTGTGCACCACCAACGCCCGGCTGTGCACCTTCGTTTGACTCGTCAGTAAAGCTGGTTAACTGGTTAGAACTTTAGTGATTGCAGAGGTTGGAATGTTGCAGGTCCAGAGCCTGATTACCGTTTATCTAGGGCTATCATTAGCCCCCTAAATAGCCTTGCCTTGTCCATCTCTTTGCCAGCTCTAACATTCTGGGACTAGCTTGTAAAACTTTTTGAAATGTATTAACTTAATAAAACCTTAGTTTCTGCTAGCCAGTGACTAATAGTGTCAGCAGGTTGTGTCTCAGGCCTAGAACGAGGATGTCTCCATTTGGCTAAAACTTAATGTTTTTTGCAGTGTATTTTCTAGTGTCTTGATTTAAGACCATCTTTGTTCAGTTACTAAAAAAACTTCATCAATTGCTACCACATTGGGACATGGACTTCAGGGTACTAAATATGTGTTCCTATGCCATGGATATTTGGCTCCAGAATAAAATACCTCCCTTAAAAAAACTTTTTTATAGCATGTATATGAATATTTTGCCTGTATGTCTACACACCATGTGTGTGTCTGGCACTCAAGGAATCTCTGAAACTAGAGCTGATTGTGAGCCACTGTATGGGTGCTGAGAACCCAATTTGGGACCCCTGCAAGAGCAGCCAGTGCCCTTAAGTGCTGAGCCATGTCTCAAGCCCAGGACAGAATATCTCTTGCCTCCTTTGAGGTATGCACTGTGTTGCAATGAAGACAATACCATTTGCTAATGTAACCTCATTTCGACTAATAACATCTGCAAACACCAAATTCCCACGTAAGGCCATACTGTGAGGCAGTGAATATTAGCACATCAGCACATTTTCCTCTGCGTTATAATGACTCTCCAAAAACAGAAAACGGGCAACAGTGTCAACAGGGAAGAGCACTGACTGCTCCTCCAGGGACCCAGGTTCAATTCGCAGCAACCACATAGTAGTTTATAACCATCTTCAACTCCAGTCCTTGGGGTAGGATCCTCTATTCTGAATCTCCAGGCACCAGACATGCATGTGGTACACAGACATACATACAGACAATCATTCATGAGCATAAAATAAATTTTAAACAAAGGCAGGCGGATCTCTGTGAGTTCAAGGTCAGCCTGGTCCACAAAGCAAGTTCCAGGACAGCCAAGGCTGTTTGTTACACAGAGAAACCCTGTCTGGAAAAATAAAATAAAATTTAAATAAATAAAAATAACCAGAAAGCCACACCTTGTTTCAATCACTTACCTACTGTCTGCTTTGTTTCCTTCACACAAGCTATCATTTTCTGAAGTGTTTTGTTCTGGCTGAGTGTATGTTTCTCTCCAGGGTTAGTAATCTGTATGAGACCACAAGGAACTTGTCTCTGTCTTCATTGTCATTGTCATTGGATCCCAAGAGCTTAGCTCATAGCTGACTCTCAATCAATGATTGCCCAATGCTAAGAGGAAATGAATAATGGCGTGGTCTACTGAGGGGGCTCACAGTGTTTGGGGTTCACAGATCAATCACTCATAGAACTCAGGAAAAGCTCACATATGCACATAGGAACATACCTGCAGTTATTTTTAAGGAGTGAAAGGGGATTGAGACAGGGGCTCATGTAGCCCAGGCTGGCCTCGAACTTGTGTGACTTTGAACTCCTGATCCTCCTGCCTCTCTGCCTCCCAGACACTGTGTAGTTGTTTCATCTGGCTTGCAGTGAGACTTCTAATGCATTTACAGACCTCAGGAAGCTCCTGAAACTTGAGAAATTTGTGAGGACTCTCCCTGCCCCCGAAGTATTCTAGAACAGCAATAACTACTAGGAAGAGGGACTTTGCACTTCCAGACGCCAGTCATGCAAATGCTCCAGGTACTCCCTGTGCTCCAGGAAGGCATGAGTCTCCCTATTTCAGGATGGACCCTTTAGAGATGCAGCCACCTCTCTCTAACACTCCTGTGAACAGCCTCAATTAATTCACCACTCTCCAAGACAGGCTTAAGTGGAACCCTTCCTTTGGTCAGTCTGTCCCAGACTGTCTGTCCTTGGTGCCCTATGTGGGATGAAGATGGCTTTAGTCTTGTCTCTTAGGAAAAAATATCACACAGCAAGATACCACAACTGTCTCCTAACTTGCAGCTCAGTTTTGTTGTTGTTTTTCTCTTTTGCCTTTTGGAGACAGCCCTGGCTGTCCTGGAACTAGCTCTATAAACCAGGCTGGCCTCGAACTCAGTGAGATCCACCTGCCTCTACCTCCCAAGTGCTGGGATTAAAGTCAGGTATGACTTTGTCAGGAGCATTTCCATTCTTATTGGAGACCATGTGCTCCATGTGAGATGTAAACTCGTGGCCCACTTCGAATTCGGGCTCTGATCCCTGATTTTTAACCCAGTATGCTATTAGTGAGAGGTGCCTAAAACTCAGTGGTGGGCTGTGAGCAAATGCAGACACCACTTGCTGCATTGCGGGAGAGTGTTAGCCTCTTTCCCCGGGGTGGGAGAGCACTCAAGGACATGAAGATTGTTGCAGACACCACTTGCTGCATTGCGGGAGAGTGTTAGCCTCTTTCCCCGGGGTGGGAGAGCACTCAAGGACATGAAGACTGTTTGGTTTTGTTTTTTCTTCAGATAAATATTTTCCATAGTCTAATGCTGAAAGTGAAAATTGGGAGAGGAACTGGTCATGATGGGACACACTTGTAATTCCAGCATCGAGGAGGTTGACACTGGGTGGTCTCAAATTCAAGACCAACCTAGGTACATCATGAGCCTGCCTCCAACTGGAGTTCAACCCCCAGAACCCACAAACTCACATAAAAGCCTGATGGAGTAGTGAGCATCCCTCTGTAATCCCAGCATTCCTCGGGTGGTGAAATGGGAAGCAGAAAAAGAATAGACTGGAAAGCCTGGATCACTCACAGCACAGGAGCAGAATAGAGAGAGGTCCTGCTTCAAAACAAGGTGGAGAGAACCGGCTCCCCAAAGTCCTCTGACTCTACTTGTGTGTTGTAGCGCACATTCAAATGCTCTGGCGTGCCCACACGCACATGCACACACACACACACACACACAACCCTAAACAGATTAAAAACAAATAACTACAAATGAATAATCCTTTATTTAATGAAAAAAGTAATTTGTTGAAGGGCTGGAGAAATGGCTCAGCAGTTAA